GGTGCCAAAGCTATCCACTTCTACCCAGCCAACTACACATTTGGGGGGTTCTCATAATCTCCTCCCTCTCGGGTTTGATAATTCAACTCAAAGATATGAGAAAAATACTTTACTTATGTTTGCCAGTTTGTCTCTTCCATTTGGCTCAGGAACAGCCAAATGGAAGAGATGCAAAGGGTGAGGTCTGGGGAAGGGATGTGTGGAATTTTTTTATTACCTCTCCTGCCTGCCACCTTCCAGGAGGTGGGAGTGGGGGAGGAGGGTGAAATTTCCCACCTCTCTGCAAGTACTTGGTCTTTCTGGTGACCAGCTCCCATCCTGAAGCTATCTAGGAGATCTGCCCCGGGTCGCCTCCTTAGCAGAAACTCGGGTGTGGTCAAAAGGGGCTCCTTAAGAATAAATAACAAAAGATACTCCTACCACTCAAAAATTCCAAAGGTTTTAGGAACTCAGTGCTAGGATCCAGGGATAAAAATCAGTATGTTTTTTATTATACCAGATACAGTCACAGAAACAGGATTGAATGAGAAATACAATTCTCATGTGACTTTAAGTGTAATAATACAACCATCTCCAGGCACCTGGGTGGCTCCATCGGTTAAGCATCTGACTTCCGCTCAGGTCATGACTTCCAGCCCCACAACCAGCTCTGCGCTGACAGTGTGGATCTTGCTTCGGGTCTTCTGTCTCCTCCTCTCTCTGCCTCTCCCCCTTGTGCTCTCTCTCAAAAATAAATAAACATGAACAAAAATTAATAATCCAACCATCTCATATCATTGAGTAAAGAATAGATTTTTAAAAAATAGATTGTTGGGGTGCCTGGGTGGCTCAGTCAGTTGGGTGGCTGACTTCAGCTCAGGTCATGATCTCACATTCTGTGAGTTTGAGCCCTGCATCAGGCTCTGTGCGGATAGCTCAGAGCCTGGAGTCTGCTTCGGATTGTGTCCCCCTCTCTCTCTGCCCATCCTCAACTCACACTCTGTCCCTCTCTCTATCAGGAATAAATAAAACATTAAAAAAAAATAAATATACATATATATAAATAAAAAGTAGATTGTTTAATAAATGGTGTAGGAACAATTAGGTAGTCAAATGGGAAAATTTAGAGCCATACTTCTCTTATGCTAAAAGAAATTCTAGATGGACCAAATGTTTTTTTAAAAATATGATAAATATTCTAGAAAAAAATGGATTTTTTAATAAGAGGAGGGGGTGTTTTCTAAGCATGCTTCAAAACTCAGAGCAATAAAAGATTGATAAATTCCACTACATAAATCTGTTACAAACTACATGGTAAAAATCATTATTGGCAGAGTCAAAAGTTAAACTGGGGAAGATATTTGCAATTTATATCACATAAAAAGGCTACCTTTTAATATTTAATAAGTTCCACATATTAAGAAAAAGGCAAGTCAATGAAAAAATGGGCAAAGAATCTGAACATGTATATCACCAAAAAAAGGAAATATGAAAAGCTTGTAAAGAGATGCTCAACTATGCTCAGCTGAATAAAGAATATGCAAATAAAAATACCATTGAGATTACTGAAGATTAAAGTTTTTTTTAACACTTTATGTTGGTGAACCTATGGACAAAGAGGTACCTTCATACATTGCTGAACAGGGTGTAAACTGGTTAAACCTGTAGAGAGGAAATTTCGCAGTATCTCTGATAAATATATATACCTGCATATCCTTTGACCCAGTAATTCCATTTACATCAATTTATCCTACAAATACAGTACCGGGTGTGTAATGATGGTATATTCAAGAATATTCACAACACTGTAATAATGAAAGGTTAAGAACCCACATATATTTGTTAATAAGGGACAAGTTAAATTATGGCATGTCATGTAATGGAATACTTTGCTGCAGAACAAATATGGAACTATCTTCAAAATACATTGTTAACTGAAATAAGATCCAAAACTCTGCATCCTATGGTGCTATATACATTCTAATATACTACTCAAAGGACACAATTTTCATCTTTTGTGGCCTCATAGTAATACAAGCATGCTAACAATTTATCTTTCTAATATTAGGCAGTTAGGGAGATAAAAAATTGGTAATAGATTTCTAACATCTTAGCCTATCCCTGAAACATGCTGATGTCTTCCCATTCCTATCTCCACCGGAATTGCCACTCTCTCTTGAGTTACCAGTCTTAATACCCTAGTTCTAGGTCTTTCCAGACTTTTTCCCATGAGCATATAAAAATATGCACATACAGATGTACAGATCTTTGTATTTTTTTTGTTCCATTTGTTTACCGAAATGAGATGATATATTGGACAGATTTTTCTAAGATCTTCACCAATAGAGCATGGATGTTCCTGTTCTAATTCCAATAACTAAGAATAGATATAGTCTTCATTCTGACTAGACATTACCTGGACGGAGATAAACTATAAATAGGGTCTTTACTTTCATTCAGCCACTAAATTCTGTTAATTCTAGTAGCTTATTCTTTTTGGGTCTTTCTAACAATACAATCATATCTCCTAAAAAACAATTTTCCTCCCAATGTTTATACCAGGAAGCTCTTCTTAGCTGCATGGCTACTATATCGCTGGGCTACTATCCTCTGTGACTACTTCCCACTGCAGGCAACTGCTGTTGCTGCCCAAAGCTGCTCTGAGTGGCCTTCAATGAATGAGAAAGAAGCTTTCTATAAGAATATCCCATATTTTGTTCAAGTGTCACAGATGACAGGACAATACAGTGGTTCCTGGTCTCTTAGTTCTCATATACTCTAATTCAAAGTGTCATCTTGTAGGGGCCAAGAGCACACCACCCAAAATACTTCACTTTAAGTTTGTTTGTTTGTTTGTTTGTTTAGAATGAGCAGGGGAGGGGCAGAGAGAGGGAGACAGAGGATCCGAAGCAGGCTCTGTGTTGACAGCAGAAAGCTGGGGTTGAACTCGTGACTGGTGAGATTGTGACCTGAGCTGAAATCAAGAGTCAGACTCTTAACTGAGACACCCAGGCGTCCCTGGCATGTTATTTTAAATAAAAGTTACTTGGGAAACAGTGGGTGCAAGCACAGTCAGACCCTTCTCTCTGCTCCCTGAAAGCAGGAAATAAATCTCCCAATTGAAACGTATCCTTCTTACACTAAATGCAAAAAAAAAAAAAAAAAAAATCCTTATCACCAGAGATAGGGATTTTAAAGCCTAGAATACTATAGAAAAAACCTTGTTTCTTTTTACTAATCTATCATCCCAGCCCCAATTCTGCTCAGAATTCCTTACTAATTAAAGCTCACAAGCCTTAATTAAGCTTTGTATCTTGTCAATTCCTCACAGATTTATTGGCTCTTTGTCTTAAAAGTATAAAAATTGCCTGCCTTGGTCAATTCTTTGGATCTCAATTTCATTATTGAGATCTCCATGAGCTTTGGATCTCCGTGAGCATGTAATTAAACTTTCGTGGTTTTTTTCCTGTTAATCTGTCTCATGTCAATTTGACTCTTAAACCAGCTGGAAGATCTTAAAGGGTAGAAAGAAATTTTTTCCTCCCCCACAATCTATACTCATTTCTTGAACTCACTGCTGTGATAATACCAGCCAAGTTCCCATTTGGTCTCTGGCAACAGGAGATAGGCCCAGAAAGGAGTCCTCTCTGAGCATACTTATTCTGATAGTCCCCTTACTCTCTGAAAGAGGGATATTCTTGGAGAGGATTTCTCTGACCACCCTGCCTAAAGAGCTTGTCTCATTCTCTATCACATTATCCCAGTTTTCTTTTCTTTCTTTTTTTTTTTTTTTTGCAGTTTTATTTTCCTTATAGCACCAAACATATTGGCAAATTTATTATTTATTTGACTCATTTATTGACTTATGTCCCCCCAGGGTAGACCATATACTACACTATAAACCTGATGAATTTAGAGAATCTCCAGTCTTATTTGCCCTTAGCTCTCTAGTACGTACAACTGAAAAACACCTACTAGACCTTCAATAAACAATTGTTGAATCAAAGAATGTTGAGTTTTTTGGAAAATAGTCTATAACATGTTGGAGTAATTTCTTTATTCCAACTGTTCCTAGTGTCATTAGGTTGTCAACGATCTGGGCGATTTTTCATCTAAAGGGACAGATCCAATTACTTAAAGTGAATGAGGTTTCTGAAACTCAACATAATTTTAAAAATGTCGATATAGTTGCAGAACTATGACATAAACAGAGACAACTCTCTAGCTAGAAATTTATCCTACTTTAATGTTCGAAATCTGCATTTGCTAGAGATGAACTACTATCTACTTGTTTTAGCTTTTTTTTTTTTTCATTTCTTATAAAGGCTTATCTGAGTTTCATTTCAAATGCTATAAAAATACGTTTACTTTTTTTTTTTTCTTTCCCTATTGGAACTTTGTGGGAAATGAGGGAAGAAAATTGCAGGTCACCCAAACATAAGTCATTAAAGGCAGATTTCAGCCTACTACATTATTTTGGAGAGCCGACCAGTCCCCATATGGTTTGACCTCAGTGCTGTGATCTGCCAAGGTCTTTTGTCTGTATGCCACTCTGCTACTTTTTTATCTTCTTCCATTTATCAATCCATACACATGTATGGTCAAACTCTCAAGATGACATCAGAATCATGACGTGTGGCACTTGCTAATGGTTACCTAGAAAGGCATTTTCAGTGGTTCACGGTGAGACATTTGGTAGGCTGACAGAGTTACAGGAAGCAGTTTTGTTTCGGTTGCGCGCACACCCCTCAATACTCGCCGTTTAACTTCTGTCCCCGCAGCAAGGCCGCGAAGACCATTTCCGTTGTTCCACACACCGCTCCAGGCCCAGGCCGCTGGCAGAAAGACAGGAAACGCCCACCCCCGGACCCCTAGGTCCCTCAGCACCTCGGCCGCAGCCAGGCGGCGACGCGCGCGCCCGATGCATTGTGGGTACTGTAGTCTGACCGGAACTGGCTCGCGACCGCAAGTCCCGTGACTGCCGCCGCTCCTCCGGCGTCTAGCCCGCAGTCCCTCTGCGCGGCCTCAGCCGGGCTTCCCGGGCCCAGGTCGCGGCGTCCCGGCTAGTCAGCTGTTTCTCCCCTGGGCACCAGAGGCGGAAGCCGAAAGGACGCAGGGAGGGGCTTCGCGCGCGGGGTGAACGCCCGTCCTACGTGCTCGTTCGCCTCGCGACCGCTGTGCGCGAGTCCGGTGTCCCCGCGGCGGGCAGCAGCGGCGGCGTCGGTGGCACTCGGAGGGGGCGGAGGGAGTCTGCGGCGGCGGCGGCTGCAGCAGCGAAATGGCGGAGACCGTGGCGGACACCCGGCGGCTGATCACCAAGCCCCAGAACCTGAATGATGCCTACGGGCCGCCCAGCAACTTCCTCGAGATCGATGTGAGCAACCCGCAGACGGTGGGGGTCGGCCGGGGCCGCTTCACCACCTACGAAATCAGAGTCAAGGTGAGGCCGTCTCTTCCCCTTCCAGGGAGACACCCCCCACCCCCCGCTGTCCGTGGCCTCCCCCAGCCAACCCACTAGCGGATTCCCCCTCGTGGCTACAGCCGCCTTGGCCGGGATCCCCGCGCTGACTCGGTCGGGCAGCCTTGTCCATGGGCGGGGTCTTGGGCCAGGGCTCTTCTTCGTGTAGGGTTTGGAAGGGGGCTGCGGTGTGAGCTCAGCCCAGCACTGGTCCTGGAAGAAGGTGTTCGAAGAAGAGGGCGTGGGTTGAGCGCCGCTTGCCCCTCAAGCAGCTGATCTGGGAATGACATTTGAGTTGGAAAGGTGTAGATCTTTCGAGAACACTGTGTTTTATCGGGAGGGGAGCTACATGTAACTAAGAAAGGGGGTTTGCGCAAAGTTGAAGTTTTTCCAGTTTTCTTTTCCTGGAGACTTTTTCCAGAGATGGCCAAGCTGGTGGTTCCAGACCCTTCCTTAGCTACCAAAGTAACCTAGGTTGTACCTTTTCTGATCAGAATCTAGTGGCAGTTCACAAAAGCCTGACGAATTTGGTAGGGCTGAGCCTGGCGAGGACGGAGATTGACCTAAGCATTCTGGCCCACAGTCGTGCTAAAGGCAGAGGTGTGGCAAGTGTTGTCTACCTCACAATCCAAAACTACAACTGCTTTGAGAAAACCTATCACTTAGGGATCTTGCTCTCTTAATTTCGAGATTTGCACTTCACTGAATGAAGGAATCAGCTGAAGTAGAAACATACTTATAATTTCATAACTAGTATTTGATGGCAATAAGTAATTCAGATGATTTGAAAGATGCTAATTGAGAATAGTGCTTCACATTCACTGTAGTTTAGGAGTAAAGAACTTGCTCGTGTATGGAAGTATCTTTAAAAATTAATTACATAAAACGAATCTAGCTGTTAACGACAACAAACTGTTTTACTAAAAATTAAGTATAATAAGAATTTCACTTTAGAGTAATCGAAATTTACATAACAAGTTACTATAAATAAATGGAGTAATTTCTCATTAACTTGTGCATTTTGGGGTATGTGGTTAAAAAAACAAAACCTATAATTTACCATCTTAAACTCTTTTTAAGTGTACACTTCAGTAGTGTTAAGTATATTCATGTTGTGACACTTATGCACATAAAAATGATATATCACGTATTGCTGAGGAAATGTTAATAGTCATACTTTAAGATGTGAAACGAACTGTTTAATGTTAACAAGCCACCCTTGTGTCCTTATGGATGTATAAAATGTGGATCATCAGCAGTCTTATTATAGTGAAATTGCAAACTCCAGACTCCAGCATACTTAGGGAAGTACTTTACCACATAAACCTAGTGAAAAAGGCCTTCCTTCCTTTCTTTTCTTTTTTTTTTTTTTTTTACTTTTGGAATGATTTTAGATATATGACAGATTGTTCACTAAGAACTTCCTCTTTTACCCTTATTCACCACCATGTCTTTCTTTCTTGTGCTAAAACAGAACTTGGTATTCCTGTTTCTAAACTTCCATAGCTTGTACTTCCTGTCATGCAAGTGAAGCAAAATCTCCTGCCTACACTTCCTCTGTTTAATAACTTTGTGTTTATGTTGTTGAGTGCATGGTGTTAAATACACTAGTATTTACTTATACTAGTATAACTTAATTATTTAAAAAAATACATCTGATACTTTACTGAATAGCTGATGTAGTACTTACAAATGTGTTCATTTGCATGTTTAAGAATAATGCTTTTTAATATTAGTTAATGAGTTATGGAATTAACAAAGTATACACACACATTGGGTTGGGGTGGGTAATGATGTTTATAGTCAGAATTGCAGGTATCCTCTAAAAAGATGTGGGTTTTTAATGCTTATGAAATGCCTTTGGGGTTTTTCTTGATATATAATGTGTTACCTTAAAACTTAGGATACCGTATAGTAAAGACAATAGGTTTTCAGGAGCATATGATTCTTAAAAAAATTTTTTTAATGTTTATTTCTTTTTGAGAGAGATAGAGAGCTGGGGAGGACAGAGAGAGGGGGGAGACAGAATTCACGAAGCAGGCTCCAGTCTCTGAGCCGTCTGCATAGAGCCCAACTGGGGCTCAAACTCATAAATCACGAGATCATGACCTGATCTGAAGTCAGACACTCAACCCACTGAGCCACCCAGGTGCCCCAAGGAGCATATGATTTTTTTTTTTTAATGTTTTATTTAGTTCTAGGAGAGAGAGAGAGAGACAGCGTGAGCAGGGGAGGGTCAGAGAGAAAAGGAGTCACAGACTCTGAAACAGGCTCCAGGCTCTGAGCTGGCAGTCAGCACAGAGCCCAACGCAGGGCTCGAACCCACTAACCGCGAGATCATGACCTAAGCGAAAGTCGGACGCCTAACCGACTAAGCCACCCAGGCGCCCCTGATTTTTGAGAGTAATTACAATCTTTTATTAAGGGAGAAAGACCAGCGAGGTGAATAGGTAAATCATTTTGTAAATTTATTTATTATTACTTTTCTAAACTGTTGCTGCTGTCCCTGCTGCCTGCCTTTTGCTGTTGAATTGCCATATGGAGTTTGGGCCCTTAAACTATCTTCTAGTTACTCTCTAATTCTGGTCTTGAGGAAAATGTTCAATTTTATAGGATCTGATTGAAATTACTCTAATTCACGGAGTAATTTTATCTAGATGGTAGCACTTTAGAATGCAAGTTTCCCAATCTCCATTTATCTTTCGGTTTGAGGGTAGTGTTTAAGACCATTAGGATCACTTGATTAGTATCTCTGGGCTTTTGAAAATAATTGGTACATTGTTAATGTTTTTAAAAATTGTTCTAATGGGTAGGTACAGCAGAGAGCACCATAAATGATGAAAGGTTTAGGAAAGCTCAGGGTCTAGAATTATTTTGTTATATTAAAGAGAAGTCTAAAGGGGAAATTCAGTCACTGTTTATGAAGTTTGTACTATAATGTAACCTTAATTTTTTGGGGATTTTAAATTAGTTTAGATCTTCTGTTGTAACTACAGACAGTTGTTTCAAACAGGAATGAAGTTAAAGATCTTTCTTGAGCTTTGAGTTCAAAGAAAAGTTTTATCATTTATTAGAATAAGGTACGTGATCGAAGTTCCACTTCCACTCTGTAAAATAGATATGCTAACAATAACACCTGCATCATGAGACTAAATAAGATAAAGCATGTAAATCTGAGCATTGACTGATACATACTGAGCATTCGAAAGGTAACTTTTTCTGAATGTGAGTATCTTCTAATTTAAAAGGCAGTGATCAGTTAACTGTATTTTCTGTCTTACTGTACAGTTGGGTTAATAAAATTGTTAGATTTTCTTGGCATGGAAGTATACTTTCATTGAGGCAGATGTGGCATAAAAGAAGCTGCCTTGTTTAGTACTTAACCAAGTAACTTTTTTGTTTTAATTTCTTATTATTTTTTGTGTGATTCCATGTAGAAAGTTGTGATGCCTTTGGAAGGTGGTAAATTTCCTATTAAGCCCCAAAATACTGAATAGAATATTTCATATTTTAAGGTACCACATTTCCTGTGATGGTACTAGTATTTTTTCCAGTTTTATTGAGATATAATTGCTATATAATATGTATGCTTAAAGTGCTCAACAGAATGATTTGCTCTGTGTATATATTATGAAATGATTACCACAATAAGTTTAGCTAACATTTCTCCCCTCAAGTAATTACAGAGATAGCCTTTTAAAGTTGAGGCTTATTAAAACATCAAGCCGAATAGTAAAGTTTGGTAAACATTTTGACAAGAAAGATGGTCAGTAAAAGTAGCATCTTGATAGTGTTTGCCATTCTAATCCTGTATTGGTGATTTTTCTCTAGGTGAGTCCTCTCATTTTAAATTGGGAGTTATTAATATCCAGATTGGAAGCTGAAAAATAAATTAATTCTTAGGCTTGTTTTTAGGATTTATAAGAATGTATTATTAAAGGGTCAAAGTAATATTTTCAAGAATCAAGGTATTTTAGTGCCAAAGGACATCTGCAGGATCTATACAGCTTTATCCTTTGGCCATGAGGTATCTGATACACATCTTTGCTGCTAGCTATGGCTTATATCCAGTATCTCCATTAAATAAGGACATATGGGGTGCCTGGGTGGCCCAGTCGGTTGAGCAACCGACTTCAGCTCAGGTTGTAATCTCACAGTCTGAGTTTGAGCCCCGCATCGGGCTCCGTGCTGACAGCTCAGAGCCTGGAGCCTGCTTCAGATTCTGTGTCTCCCTCGCTGTCCCTACCCCCTCTCAAAAATAAATAAACATTAAAAAAAAAGTTTTTAAAGGAATGGTATATAACTAGCATTGAAGATTCTGTTCTTACTTAATCCATCCCGTAAGTTGGGGAGAAGGAGGCAGTGACAGTTAAAGAGTGGCCTTGCTATATTGGGTTATTAGGGACTGTTCTATCTCTGTTCATTTTAGTACATCAGGGACCCAAAGCACAGAAGGTTGTTTCTCACCCAAAGTAAATTATCTAGTGTCAGAGCCAAGATTAGATTTGAAGTATTCTGGTCCTGGTTTAGAACTGCTTCACAGCCACAGTTCATTTAATTTAAAGTAGTACATTAAAACCTTTGTTATCTACAGACTGCTGTTGGAGCACCCTCAGGTGTCTGAACCTTTTGAAAGAAATCCCATAGTTGGCCATCTTGACACTTGGGAATTGACTCTTCAGTAATCCACAGTATGTCAGATGCACACAGGAGAAATGAGCAACTGCACAGAGCTTGCTATTAAATTTTGTGCTCTGATAAGATGACCTGAAGAGAAAGTGTTGTTGACTGGCTGACTAGTGATGTTATAAAAGACGAGATTTTTTTTTTCTGTGTGTTGAAACTGAAGAGATTTATAACGAGCACTTACTCTGTTCAAGGCATTGTGCTATATATATATAAAAATGTAGAACGCTTCATGAATTTGCATGTCATCCTTGCGCAGGGGCCATGCTAGTCTTCTCTGTATCTTTCCAATTTTA